ATAAACCAAAATGTATATATATAGAGCAACCTACACTGTCATACGAAAACCCTGACCTAGAACAAGTTCTCTTGAATTTCTACAAAATAATTCTCCGTGTCCCTAGAAGCTCCGTCACCGCCGCCGTAAGGGGAGAACTAGGAGCGTTTCCGTTATATATTGACACCCAAACTCAGCTCATCAAATACTGGCTCAGACTGCACCACCTGCCTAATGATAGAATTGTTAAAAAAGCCTATGATATCGCTGTAGAACAAGAACAGGACTGGGTAATACATATACAAGATATGCTATGTAGACACGGTTTCCAAAATATTTGGCTAAACCCAACAGTTGACGCCAAGCATTTTGGAAAGGTGTTCAAACAATGACTGCAAGACACATTTGTTTCTGGCTGGAGGCAAAACATAAGAAATTACAGTAAACTACAAACCTATATTAAATTCAAAACGGACTTCACTTTTGAGAAGTACCTCTCATCAATCCAAAACAAATCATTTGTTGCTAACATAACCAAACTGCGAATCAGTGCACATCGTTTAGAAATAGAAAAAGGTCGTCATAAGAATGTACCAGCCACTCAGAGACGCTGTCCTACATGTAAACACAATGTTGAAGACGAATTTCACTTCTTATTATTTTGTCCCACGTACACTGAAGAAAGGCTGACACTTATGAACATGATCTCACGTAACTCAAACCTCACTTTACCTAGAACAAGCTCAGATACTTTTAATTTACTTATGTCATGTCCTGAACCAATATCCTTATATATAGGCCAATTCATATCTTCCGCTCTCTAGAAAAGAAACCATATCATCTCTGACACTTCGAATGAGTGTTAATACTGTATCCATGTCCCATATATATTGTATAACTCATAGTACACAGTTACAGCGTAGCGTCTAGAGTTAGTCATTTAGAAGTAGATTTTAGTATTGTTATTCTTGTCTATACTTGCCATACATTGTACCTGTTGCAATTGTTGCGCAATAAAGATTGATTGATATCAAGACCAGAAGATCTGCTGCAGTACCAAGGAAGCCACTAGGGGGCCCAAACTCATCATTTCTAGATTTATTCACACCATACCAACCCACTATGAAACTAATCCATCCAGCCGTTCTTGAGTTATCTTGTTGAAAAAAATTAATTATCTTGGGAATGCATTCGTGGAATTCTTAAAATATTTTCAACTTGCTAATAGTCGGATTCTCAATTTGACAAGGAGAACAAACTGCAAATGCATTAAGGTTATCTTTACAGCTGGAAACAGCTTATTGTGCTGAGCACAACGACCGTCTGAAGACAACATATGGCTCATTAATCACAATAGATAATCACCAAAGGGCCAGTAACTTTTTGGCCAGTACAATTTTTGCCTTATTATTTTCTTATGAAATAATAGCTCCTATTTCACGTACACTTTACGTACACTTATGCCATTGTAGATGCTTTTTTCACAACAATTTTTTTCCTGATACATTTTAGAAGTGTTCACCAAATTTGATGCTGGTAGTATGTTGATAATTTCTAAAAATTAGCAAAAAACTGTCTTGGGGTCCGCGCGGAGGGTTAAAAGAGTAATGTCTCATGAATATTTGTACCAAGTTTGGTGCTTGTATCACAATTTGAAAGATTATTTCAGTTATCTGCCCCACTACTATGACCAATTACATCTATACTTGCATTAAATACACCGTTTTTCAGGTAATTGTTCATATGATAATCAAAATATCACACAACACACCATTAAAAAGGTTATTAAAGGTTATTATTAAAAAGTCCCGTCTTAAATGTCAAGTCACATATATATTAAAGTGTGATCCGCTGTTTTTTTTTCGGTGTTTAGTGTCCTGGAAAGTAACCTATAACCAGCTTGTAAATTAAATCTGTTATTGTTAAAATGTCATCAGTCCTACCAGTGTACGTTATGCCGATCAGCAACACATGGCTTTCTTCACATGTTTACATATGCTTGTAACTGAATATTCAATAGGAATAAAGGTTTATGATTTAGGGGTTAATGACCCGCCCCGAGGTGAATATGGTGTGATAAAGCCTTGTCAGTTGCTATAACCACCGAATAAAGCCGCTGAGTGAGCGCAGCGTACGAGGTGGCTTTATGAGGTGGTTATAGCAACTGACAAGGCTTCATCACACCAAATTCACCGAGAAAGGGCGGGCCATTAAAGGAGTACTAACCTCCAGAAGGAGGTGCTATATTTCGACAGGCATTTATTTTTGGAAGTGAAAAATGCATATTATTTTACAGTATACAATTAAATGCCCATTTTGCGAGCAAGTCTTAAAACGCATCGAATCCAGGACAAACTCTCCAAATACCCTCAAAACTATCCCAGAATACACCACGCTACCCCATTGGTGTCTATGTTTTAAACAAAAAGTTACGTTACAGACCTCATTTCGGGGGCGATAAGAAAAATTCGTACCGTTTTGTGTTCTTTGGTATCTTACCAACCATTTCCCTTCTTGGTGTCCTTATCGCCCCTCATTTATGCCGCAAATATTGATGATGAAAAAAACGGCGTAATCTAGTTATCTTTTTCATAAGTGGCGTAATCTAATTATCTGTTCAAGTTATACTTACATGCAAATAAGTTGAGAAACTCAAAACACACAGGATGAAACTGGCGCCCACTGTATTCGACATCATGATATTATAATATCCAAGCCACAGGTCAAGCAAAGTAAAGCAAGTAATTTCTCAATAATCAGCTTGTTAGTGTGCTTGTCTCCTACCATTTTCGCCAAAAAAAATGTTTATGTTGACCTGAAGTGTATGAGTATTGCGTAAGCCAGAGTTCCCGGATGTATCAATTGTGGTTCAGCATGGGGGAAAATGATATTTATATCACTTTACAAACATGCGCCGCGCAACTCGTACAAGCGAAATTATGTAAAAAGTCGGCTAGTTATGTATTCATTGCAGCATGATGTATCGGAAAATAGCACTTCGTTCTGGAGGTTAGTACTCCTTTAACGCTATTATTATATGGCCCATCAAAACTTACACAGTAAAGAGTGACACATTCCTGTACAATACATACAAACTTAAATAGAACATTGTGTACCATCCGGAGTCACATGAGGTCACTGGGGGAGGGCGTGTTCTATCTGGGTCAACGTCAGGGAACAGGTGTTCTTATGGGAGTCACCCGAGGTCATTGGAACACAACTCAGGTTGGCACGTGGGCATGGTGGCCTTGAAAAGGTGCACTTAGATGCACCTGTTCCACCATGCCCCCCATTTATATTATGTATGTGGTCAATCGTAATAAATAAATAAATAAATAAATAAATAAATAAAGTTATTTTTTGGATTTTTACAACAAAGTGTTGTTCTTTTTGGGTCACCTGAGGTCATATGCAGGTGATTATTGGGTTGTTTAATGTATGGATTGGAAAGAATAAAGACCCGGTTTTTACTCTATTTGTGACATTACGGCGACATAAGGAATGTGGCATGGAGCCTTCTGATTGGTCAACGTCACCCGGCTATATGATAACAGTCAATACAGCCTGGGTATAACATAGAATATACGACTTACAGTCTTCTATTCTTCATTGTGTAGATAAACATAATAATCATTAGAATTTTCACTACACATTTACTATTTTCGGTCTAGCAGTGTGGACCTTTGTACATCACTCTCTAAAAGTTTGTCATAGATCTTGATTCTTAAATACTGAGTGGTCAGCTTCATTTTTTTTCTAATTTAACCTCTTTACATTCTGCTGTATCATTACACGGCCACTATTGATGATTGACGATCTAGATTGTCAACCAAAGATTATAAATACTACGTCGATGAAGGTTAGACATCCAGGTAATACGATACGCCAAAAAGCAGTTACTCAAGCAACTGGATATGATTTTGAAAACGTCAGACGTTTCAGCTATTATCCACTAGCTTTCGTCAGTGACTGAAGGACCAGACGAAAAATGCAGGTTTATAAGCACAAACTATTGATTGATAAAGTGAATAAAGTGAATACAAATTTTTGGAAGTCTAAAAAGGAACAAAATTCAGAAAAGTCAAGAAAAGATAATACAAATTAGTCAGAAAGCTCCTGTTATACAGAACAGGACGAAAGCTAGTGTATATATATACTAGCTGAAACGTCTGACGTTTTCAAAATCATATCCAGCTGCTTGAGTAACTGTTTTTTGGCGTATTATTAATACTGTTACAAACAGACACCTTTGCGTGACTACTGTAGTACATCACTTTTTTCCACTATATTCATGTCTCACCATTTATCTTAATCTTATTGTGACAATTTTTCCCATAACACTTTACAATTGAGATTCTACACAACTTCTTTACAACTAAGCAAAGTTAGCATAAATTGCTTTTAACATTTACAGAGCTACGATTGTATAATTTCTTTATCATAAACCCATGCTTTTGATGTTATAACTGTAGAACCATATGTGTGCAGCCTTGCATGTTAAAATGTACGGCTTAGTCTTCTACATATATTCTTGACTGACTTGTTACAATACACAGAGTAAAAAAACTCGGTAATAAGTGGCAGGTGTCTGTACTAAGTGCTGTAATTTTAACAATGCAGAAGAAACGAGAAGAAAAGTAAACATAAACATATTTAAGAAAGGTAACATTTGCAAAGCAAATGCATAATGTGTACCTTCGCGTATGGTCTGCTCTGTTAATTCTTACTCATTTGACAAATACATTCATATATATGGTCAGACAGTATAAATCCCTCCTAATGATAAAATTGCAACATCATGTAACCCGTGTAACCCAACACGTTACCATATCAGGCCATTGGCCAGGTCAAAGGTATGTGTTTGGAACGAAAGAAGAAGAAGAGGAAATTTAGCCAAAACAATATGTTTTCCTTCGGTAAACAGAATTCTTTTATAAAAATGACTAAATTTTGCTGAGCGTACAGATTTGAGAACATGTCTTTAAAATATATAGGGACAAAAGTTAAGGATATTTCTCCATTTAGGATGGAGGATGCTGACAGATGAACCCCCTCATCTTACGGGTGCAACCCTCGTCGTCCCACATGGGGTATCCAGTGGGGCCTGACCAGTACTGTCCACATCTCGGCGGCCGATAGTAGTAAGTTGGCTCGCCTGGATTCCATCCCTATTCGAAAAATTAAGACAGCTCTAAAAATACCAAAGATCCCTATTCTGCTTAATCAAATTGAATTTGTATCAAACCCCCATATAAACATAGACATAATAATACATATTGCATTTTTGTACCTCGGCAATCATGTATATATTACCAGGACTCTGTAACTGTATTTTTAAAATGTATGTATATTATTGCACCATTGTTCATAATTTGTATATTTCACTAAGCATGTATTTTGTAAATTGTAATATGCATTATATGTGTGTCTAATTATGTTCATTTTCCCCCCAGGGTGTCCCTTAGTACTAGTCCTAACTAGTTGGGACACCCTGGCTTCTTTGTAAGCCAAATAAATAAATAAATACTCGTAAATAGATAGATACCAAAGAGGTTACTATATTTTCGCACTGTTTTATAATTATGAAATGCATTTCGATAATCAGATGGGGGCAATCTAAATTATTGCATGATACTAACTTACTTTGGTGCATTTTTCTATGATACATAGACGTTATTGGTTGCATGTGTTACTAGTACTCAAATGGATGGTGCAAAAACGTAAACGGGGTCATTCAGTAAGTGGATGGCATTCAATAAATGAAGGCGAAGAAATCAGAATTATCATTCTAGGACATTAATAAAAACAACATAACTTTTTAAATGATCATAAGATTTCAATCATTGTTTTTCTTTAATGAATATACAAGTCGTACCAGCATACCTCGTACCCGTTGTCACCGACCACCGACCCGTCCACCCAATACCAGGTTCTGTCTTTCTCCTCCATACCGATCCAGTGTTGCTTGTTGCCTCCTTCCGTTTTGACCAGATCTCTCAGAGCGACGTCCAGTTCTTCCGTTTTCGGCATGGCCAGTGTGGCTCCTTCCTTCCTGCATGTCATCTTGGCTTCATGATAGAGCTTTCCGGCGTTGAACCAGAACCAGCCAGATGAAACGAGCCTGATGCAGGTCCCGGCGAGAAGTCTGTAGCCGTTTTTGCAGCGGGGAACTGGGAAGAACAGTTCATCAGTTGCCCATCCCCAGAATGCAATGCGAAAATAGGGGGTAACCCTCATTTGCATAGGACTGGAAGACATCGGAATGATCCTGTTGACGTTGCCTTTTACTGTGTTTTGAGATGTTGGGGCATTTTATGCTCAACATTAATTAAATTACTATGGGCCGAATCTGAAAACAAAAAGAGAATGAAGTTTAAGTGTTCTTTTTAACATGGAACATGTGGTTTGTAACGTTACAGCATCATATAGCGTTACCACTATAACGTTACAAACCACATATTCAAAAAAATTCATTCGCTATTTGTTTTGAGATTCAACCCATAGTAATTTAATTAATGTTGAGTTTTAAATGCCCCAACACCTTAAAACACAGTGAAAAGTAAGCTGTTTAATGTCAACAGGATCATTCGGATGCCTTTCAGTGCTATGCAAATGAGGGTTAACCCCCCCCCCCATTTTTAAAACTATCAGCCATGCATATAAATCCCTCTGTCATTGTTAGAATTAGTATTGCCTTAATAGAAGTAGTTACAGAAGGTAATGGTGTAATTTTCAGCAGGTCTCTGATGAGGACTGTGCGGACTTTGGTCTTGGCTCTAAGTCGGGCCAGGTTGAACAATCTCCCATCACTGCGAGTGTGTAGATGGACACCTTGTGTAGAGTGGCCAAACGCAAAATTCAGCAGCATAGAGAAGAAGATCCCGAACAAGGTCGGAGCGAGGACACACCCTTGCTTCACGCCACTCCGGATTTCGAAGGGTTCAGAAGTCTCTCCATCGTAGCTGACCACACCCTTCATGTCCTCATGAAAGGAGATGATGATGCTGAGAAGCTGTGGGGGACAACCAATCTTCTTCAGCACCTGAAACAGACCCTTCCTACTCACAAGGTCAAAAGCCTTGGTCAGATCGATAAAGGCGATGTATAACGGCCTCTGCTGTTCACGGCACTTCTCTTGCAGTTGTCGTACAGAAAAGATCATATCTATTGTAGATCTCTCTGCGCGGAAACCGCACTGCGATTCCGGGTAAACCCTGTTGGCCAGTACTTGCAGCCGAGAGAGAACCACTTTGGCGAAGACTTTCCCCACGATGCTCAGTAGGGAAATGCCTCTGTAGCTGTTACAGTCACTGCGATCTCCTTTGTTCTTATATAGGGTAATGATCTTAGAATTGCGCATTGACTGGGGCACTTTGCCCTCCCTCCAGCAAAGACATAGTAAGTCATGTAATGGTTTAACCAGAGCAGGTTTGCCAGACATAATGATCTCCGCTGGAATGTTGTCTTCCCCTGGTGCTTTCCAGCTTGGCATGGAGTCTATGGCTTTGCTCAACTCTTCCATTGTGGAAACGGCGTCCAGTTCTGCAATGACAGGCAGGTCATCAATGCTGTCAAGCGCATTTTGAGAGACTGCGTTTTCTTGTGAGTAAAGATCGAGGTAATGCTCAACCCAGCGTGACATTTGCTTCTCTTTATCAATGATGGTCTCCCCCGACTTTGCTTTAAGCGGTGCACACTTTTTGATTGATTTTCCAGTTGCTCATCAGAGACCTGCTGTTTGCTGATGACGCAGCACTGACTGCACACGTGGAGCAGGAACTACAACAGTTGATCAACCAGGTCGCTCATGCCTGCAAGGAGTTTGCCATGATTGTCAGCATCAAGAAAACTGTCGTCATGGGGCAGGATGTTCCAAGGCCACCTGCTATCACCATAGACGCAGAGGTTCTCGAGGTGACAGACCACTTCACCTACCTCGGATCAACTGTCACCCAAAACCTGTCTCTTGACAAGGAACTTGATAGGCGGATAGCCAGAGCTGCTGGTATCATGACCAAACTTGGAAAGAGAGTTTGGAACAACCACCTCTTGACCCTAAAAACAAAACTCCAAGTTTATCGCTCATGCGTTCTCAGCACACTGCTGTACGGCAGCGAGTCTTGGACGACCTATGCCAGGCAAGAAAACCGACTCGAAAGCTTCCACTTGCGCTGCTTGAGGCGTATCCTTGGGATCTCCTGGAGGGATAAGGTACCTAACACCATTGTCTTGGGAGCGTTCTGGCTCTCTGGGCTTGCATCTCCTCCTCTGCCAACGTCGCTTACGATGGCTGGGTCATGTTCACAGAATGAAGGATGGGCGTATCCCAAAGGACATCATGTATGGCGAGCTTGCCTCAGGAAGACGTCCTATAGGTCGCCCAGCACTTCGCTTCAGGGACGTTTGCAAACGTGATATGAAATGCACTGACATCGACCCAACCAGCTGGGAACAGCTCGCGGCTGACCGCAGTGGCTGGCGACACGCAGTCAAGGTTGGCATAGTGAGAGGACAGGCAAAACGCTGCGAGCAGCTGGAGACTAAGCGCCAGAAGCGTAGAGAGAAACAAAACACACAGAATGTCTCAACTTTCCTGTGTCCCAACTGCGGTCGGGACTGTCACGCCAAGATAGGTCTGATAAGCCACTCCAGACGCTGCACACAACGGAAGGACATCTAGAGTGCTACCATCATCTCACGAGATGGAAGGATGCCTACTAATAGAAGTAGTTACAGAAGGTAATGGTGTAATTTACACTGGCATGTTAAATGCTTGGGCTGGAAGCTACCAACTTTGCTCATTCCTTTGTTGCACATCTCCATTTTCTGCATCTGTGCTTTAAATATAATGTAGTGTATGTAATGAAAATCCTTATAAGGGTTATGAAATATAAATGTCTAACCATGTATGTTGCCAAATGAGTCGCCGTGTATGGGTAGTGGACGTGCAACTGCCTGATCTCTCTCAGTCGTTAAAAGTGCAGTCTCCTTCTGGATCAATTATAGGGGAAACTATACTAAATTAAAAGTTTCAATTGATTCAAGATCTAAACCTGGGATTTTTATATACCTTAGGCCACACTGATTTAATTTTATGGATGACATCCTCTGAAGACCCCAAACTAGTGCGCCGGGGCAAATAAAAAAAATTCCGGCCAAAAATAAAAATGCTACTAAACCACAGGGATATAAAGCAGGTATTGTGAATTCGCGACAATACATAGCGACGTATACGACAAGCATGTACATATATGCTGGCTTTTTGCGGAATTTATGAATCAGCATTGTATGTATGTACAATGTACTGAGTTGTGGAGCTTCAGTAGCCTGGGTGCGATCCTCCATAGTTACCAACGGCTCCGCATTGTCGCTAACTACCATGGATTACCAAGGCCTAGAGCCAGGCCAGAGCTTTGGAGGACGTGATCTTTTTTGTGTGTGATAACAGGCGAAAATCAATGCGCGCGCGGATGCCATCCATAAAATTGAGTCGCTGTGGCCTTATAGGAAGATGGAAGCAAGAGTAATTATGGTAATAATGATAAAGGAAAAAGCATAACATAATTAAGCTATACATTCATTCATCCCTCAGAAAACTATCGATTTTCAAGCTACATTATTTTTTTTACTCTCCTCTCATCTGTTTCTTATTTCTTTATTGCAATGTAAGGTTTGCTTCGAGGTGTTTAGGTCACTGTAAGGCAGTTTTATTTGTCCAAGTAAGTATCAATTGCAAACAAACTGGCAATGAAAACATACATTGCCATGGCGACGGTGGTTGATGTTAGGGTTATTGTTTGCATGGCACTGCCATCATTTCATGATTTTGAGCAAGACAGATACAGTGCACTCCTCCCCCAAGTGTATAGTGAACGAGCCCCGGGGTCACAGAAAGTATGGCCATCCCTGGCAGACAGGTCTTCTGGGTCTTCCCAAGGGTTTCCAGGAATGTGGACATACATGTGGGTCAGAGACATGCCTGTGGTCTTCCCAAGGATTTCCAGGAATGTGAACATAGATGTGGGTTAGAGAAATGCCTGTGGACATTCCATTCCTGTGGACAAAATGCCCGTACAATTCCTAGAATTCTTGCGAATTGCACACAATACTGTACCATTAGGCTCCTCCCTGAGACGTCGCCAAAGAAAAGCCATGAAAAAGAAGGAATTTAGTGACCTTGACTTACTTTGGTTGATGTGCCTGTTTTGTCGGTTGAGATCACTCCTGGCAGAGAAGTTGACTGGTCAGACTGTGTGTCTGCCATCTGTGGCAGTCCAGTTGTGTTGTCCGGTAGGGTAGTCGCCAGCCAGGCCTGTGCAGGAGTCATCTTTGACAGTGCCGGTGACACCATGCGACTTTTCATCATACGTTTGTTTGGAGACTCTTTAAAAGGCGGGTCAGTGTTCTGAAAAAGGTATGACCAAATTGATATATAAACAGCTAGAGGTCGGAGATCCTATGTCTTCGTCAGAGGTACATTATTCTAGAGAAATGAACATGTGTAAATCTTTACTCTTTTTTAAATTATCAATTTGGTCTAGAGTTCAAAATAATCTCTGTACTCTTTTTTATGCTACGGAATACCCTGAAAGGGTTCGCCACAGATTTTACAGACGCGCCGTCACCCGTTTTACCCCCCCCCCCACGTTATTTGATTTTGGACTAATACTGGAAAAAACTGTTACAAGAAATTCTGCTTACTGTACTATGATGAAAGTGTTACGGCAGTGTCGTAAAATATAATAAGAGATGTGATAAAGGAAAGAATCGGAACAGGGCAACTACTGCTGTTTTGTTAATTTATTTTTATGATGAATAGAGGACTAGTTTCTTGTTACACTGCATGTGTTCTTTTATTCAATTTGTGTCCTAACATTTGGATTTCTACAGTATATTCCAAATCTGTTTCTTAAAAAAATGCAATTTTAATAATTCAAGATTTCCGATCCAAGATGGCCGACAGCTTAATTATGCATGGCGTCATTTTATGACGTCATTATGACCCCAGTGTTGTTGCCAGGGGCAAAAAAAGTCTTAGCAGAAATTAATACTCCAGCATAAAC